GAGTCCCATGCATAATGAAAGTCTTTTTTGCTTCCCTAGGAGAGGCTGAGCCTGCTGGTATTGGATTTTGCTGTATTGTCAGCACAGCACTCCCAGCTCTAAGTGAACTACTTGCTTAATTAGAGATACTGCAATCTGATTATTGTATCTATCCCCTGCATCATCTATAAAGTAGGATCTGCACAGGCACTTGCCAGCGAGGGCATGACTACTACAATGACAGAAAATATCCAACCTGTGTCTACACTGCCACTGAGAAGACAGAACTCTAGGAACCAGTGAAGGTGAAATGAATGCCTAGAATCCAATGAGGACCTTGATTAGGATGATGAAAGCTCATTCCTTCCTAGTTCTGGAGCAATGTTGATGGTGACATGATCTAACTGGATTAATAAAAAGAAAAAAGTTAACCCCATAGCGACAGGTGTACAGCTACCCTGTGACCTCCCTTACCCTCTTTAGTCTAGATAGTCGCTGGTGGAGGGCAACCTCTCCACACACCAGGAGAGTACTGTATAAACTATTGCAGGGGTTTATCTCTTTTAAATAGTTTGTGATGTTAGTATTGCATTACCCCTTAGCTTTGTGCCTGTAAACTCTGCCCAGATTATGGTCCTCCTTGAGCATGCAAAGAGCAACCTACCATATCACATCTGTACTGCCAACCTGGAATTCAACCTCAACTGCATCCCCAGCAAAGAAAATGTACTTTTTCTATTATTTATTCAACAAAAATATCCATAGATGTAGTGGTGTTGTGCTGAAAAAAAGAAGCCAAGACAAAAGTAGAGCATTGTCATAGCAGTCTGTCTCAGGTCATAGCTATTGGTGCACTTTGAGTGTACTCACCAATTCTGTACAATTTTTCCAACATGGTGTAGCAGTCAAGTTGTTGGTAAATTAACTTTTCTAATCTAAGCTAGGCGTTTACTTCTTTAACCCAAGTTTGAACAGTAAGGACAATAACCAATATTTTAGCTAAAAATGTTCTGGCATTGAATCCTTAACATTATTAATTTATTATTTTCTGGTGCCTCCAAGTATCCCAAATAGCAGGTTAAGGGGATATTCTGAATGTGCACACTAAAGACTTTATTTAAGTTCTAGCAGGACATTACCGATCTTATCAACAGTTTGGGGCAGCACCATAGCATTGGCAGGAAGTCACCCACACCTCTATTACATCTGTGGAACGATGGGGATTCCCTGTGACTGCATTGGTATATCCACTGAGGAGTCCTTTGGGCCCTATGTAAAATGAATAGTCGTGTAAGCCTCTTGGAAGCAGAGGAGGGTAGAGCTGTAGAATTAGGTACAGTGTTGCAACTTATGTACCATATTTATTGTATCAACGCTAGGGTAGGGAGGGATTGCAAAATGAGAAAATGATCCACTTCCAAGGAAAAAGCCTAAGACTTTCTTTGTCTCTATGTGTAGGAACGCTATGGACCTCTTCAGCCAAACCACTTAAATATCGTACTTGGACTGCCAAGTAATAAAACCACATATTAGAGGATGACAATCCTCCCTCATCAAGAGGTCATTAGAGGGTACTCTGTTTGAATCTAGCCTGACCACATTTGCACACAAAACATGATACAGTGTCAATGATATTGAATCAATATTTCAGTATCCAGCATGTCATTTGTAAAGTAGTTGGGAAAACCAAATTATTTTAGTTAAATTGCAGTGATTGTTCTTATCAGGTATAGGAGTTTTGGGTCATATTGCCTGGTGATATTTTATATATAGGGACAATTTTGAGGAAAAAAAAAATGGGTGATTTGGTAACATTTTAACAAGTAATTAAAATATGTATGTGCCTTTTCAAGTGTTTCATTAGAGAGGGTTGACAGGTGTATAAATGATCCTTTGATCCTCTCCATTTCTCCTACTCTATGACTATGACCCAGCAGAGGATGAAACGCATCAGTGAAGGACATGACTGGAGTGTGTTTGCTACTTGCGCCATAAAGCTTTGATGATTTGTTGAGAGTGCAGTGTGTGGCTCTGCAATTGTTTGAAGTTATGAAAAGGACAACACAACAGGAAAATGTGCAATGTTCACAACCACACACTTCAGACTCCATACACAGTTTCTAAAATCCATAATTTCTAAAAAACAAAATAGAAAACAGCCTCTTTGTTGGTGGTAAATAGCAGGTATTTTATTTGTAATGAAAAAGAATTAACTTAAGTACCTGACCTATTGCATTTAGTCATGTATTGTAATTGTGTTACTCTACTTTTTGCATTGGAGACAAATATACAATGAACATTCAGATATTACAGATTGCACGCTAGATAAGATTTTCTTCCAGGCCGTGAACATTTAACCACCAAAAAAACATACTGTAGTACAGTACAAAATTCCACACTCCAGCCTCAGCCAGTTATTATCAAACTTCTGCTGCCATGTAAATCAATGGCTGTGTTTATGGGAGTACAAATTAATAACAGGACAAAAAAAAATATACATCGCACTGACACAAAAAGTCAGCTCTGTTAATTACTCATGCAACAAGTAACAAAACTTGCTGAAATGAAAATACTTTCTAAAAACTTTTTTTTGCTTCTTTTGACTGCATAAATATTTTATACACAGTTTTTTTATGTTACTGAAATAAAATGAATTGCAAAATAATACAGAACAAAAATAAAATTTGGCTGCTACTGCTATTTTACATAAAGGTGCAAAATAATTTATTGGTAGTGTTCTGCTAGTTGGACCTCTCATACAAAGCCTGCTCTATTGGTAAGCATGACGATACAACTAGAGTACATCTTACAGGTACACTGGAAAGTACATGGGTGCTTGTGACGAGCTGCAAGGCAGAACAAAGTGGCAATGAAATTCATAACAGACAAGAGGCTGCTCAAATGTCCTGGTGCAAACTGCCTTGAGATGGTCAGCACATACAGTACATATAGATCCCAGACTCCAATAATAAGCCCCACACAATCTGCCCAAATTTAGGCAAGTCACACCAACCTTTGCCAAGTCATAGGGGTGTAAAAAGCAGGACTTGTGTCCTTTAAAAAAAAGGGAGTCATGCATATGTTTCATTTTCTGTACATAAAAAAGGGCCATATCCTGCCCAGTTTTGTTCCCCGCCCTTATTTTTGTGCCTCATAATCTGACAGCACAACAAGGAATTCCTGCACTTATTGGGAAAGTGAATAACATTTCCAAGTTATAAGCATTCCAGAGACAGTAGGAAATGACCCCCCCGCCTAATAATCTGAAAGCTAGTGACACAACTTGTAAGACCTGTCCTGCAGAACAGAGGTGTGGAAAATATATGCTGCAGAGTTTCTGCCAAATCTTTCCTGTAGTCGAAGGCCAACATTCATATATGTGCTCTGTCACCCACTGGTGATCGCTCATGGCATTTGTTCTCCCAAAGGGAGATCTTCCTTGTAAAATCCTGAAAGCTTTCCCACTTGCCCCTCTCTTAAATAAATGTGGAATTTAAATGAGTGAAATGGTGACCTTAATTTTGTTAAAAAATTGTTCTTTACATTTAAAATGTCAGTGTTAACAAAAAATAATAAATAATGGCTAAAATACAAAGCTAGTAATATTAATTCCCAATATATTGCTTTTTTGGTGTATTGAAGCTTCTTTATTTTAATTTCATAAGAGTTAAATAAAGCCCTTTTAAAAGTGTTAAATACAGCAACGTTTTGCCACAATCCAGTTTAATTTAAAATTGTACACAATACATTGAACTACTCTGTTCGAGAATGGCTTATGTTGTGTGACACACGCTTGATCTTAAAATAAGCTGTATTAGCGAAAGAAAAGCAGTAGTAACATTTTTGTGGTCCAAAGCCGCACTATGGGGGGGGCAAAGGGCAGATTTTGCATCCATGGGACAAATTACGGAAAAACCCTCAGCAGCCACTCAAATGAAATATGGCTTTTGCTGAAGAAAAAAATTTATTGAACACAAAAAAAAAAAAAAAAAAAAACACTAGTCTGAGTCACAACAGCACTGCACTGTTTCTTGTGGACAAATTCATACTTTGCACTGCGTGTTCATTCAAAGCATTTAAATCCTAATAATTTTTTTTCATGCAAACAAGATTTGAATGCGTTGGCGCTGGGCTGTGTGTCCTGTGAAAAAGGGAACTTACAATACTGGTAAATTCATGGTCCCTATGTTTCACAGGGATTATACATATACAGGTAAAAACACGTGAGGGTGTATTATCTCTTTCAGTGCACAGCCCCAAAACCAAATACATGCACAGTCTGAGCTTGCGTAACCATACGGATGTACTGAGAGTTTTACTAAAGCTGAATCTAACTTTACGCTGTTTCTTTGCCAGATACAGTGCAGGCTAGTTATGTATTGGTACCAAGACTTTAGTAAAATTACACATAATGCTCGACACCAGGCTGGGCTGCAGGTGTGGGGCATATAGAAAAGCTTGGAAACATGTACATGTTTAAGGAAGTTGAATAAAACAAGGGTACAGACAAAGGTACATCGATGATATATTTCTTGTGTTTATCAATTTTAGTCCCATGTAACAGGCAATTTTGCAATTTCAATAAAAAGGCCAATATTTTATTTACATTAATCTGTACATGACTGCAAGTCTTTTTCTTTCCTTCGTAAGTGGCTTATTTGTCCAAAGAAAGCTATCTAAGAGATTACTTGAGAGGATGGGTGGCTCAATGAAACAAACACAAGAAATGATAGGAACTGTTGGTTGGGTGCTTTCTTCAGCCAGCAGACATAGCAGCAGAACTATATATATATTTATAGATGTCTGAAAGCTCACCATTGTCCTTAGGAGTCTAGTCTTCAGTGACTTAAAATACAATTTGTATGTGAGCCGAGTGATCCCTTTTTACTTGCAGTGTTTAAACATGATTCAAGGTTGCATGTAAACTTTTTTTTTTTTTAAATGTTCAAAGTTTAATTTCATAATATTGATGATAGCACAAGGAAGGGCTCCATGTGGTAATCAAGATGGCCAAAGGTGTCCTAGTTCCTTGATGACTCCTCAGAGCCCCGTTCATGCTGTAAATTATAATAACAGTTCTGACACACTCGCACTGGTGAAGAAATCTTCAGGCGCTTGATCTCAGATTGGAACCTGCTGCACCTATAAAAGGGATAACATTTTATTTTTATTAGCAATTGTTTGTGGTAGTTCATTGGGCAGGTTACATTAGCGGTTAAAAATAACCAAATGTGCAACATAAGTTAAAGTGGTTATAAAGTCAAAAAGGTTTTTAATCTTAATGCTTTCTATGTTTTAAGGTAAAAAACCTTCCAGTTTCTGTTCCTCCATCGCACCTCCCTAAATACTTACCCGAGTCCTGTATCGATTCAGCTCTGCGCCTTACTGCAGGTACTGTTCCCAAACGTTTGGCTGAGATCAGCAGGAGCCATTGGCTCTTGCTGCTGTCAGTCAAATCCTGTAAGCAGAGAGCGGGGGTGGGGCTAAGGCAGGCTGTGTGTCTATGGATGCAAACAGCCCAACTTGAGAGTGAGCCTGCATGTGCACCCCCATAGGAAGTGGCTTCCTATGGTGGGCATAGAGATGAGCTGGACAGCTCAATGCTCTGGATTTAATGTGCGTAAAACTACTCCATCAATTGGGTTTACAATTTGAGCCATTTGCCTGGTACACTATGTACCTATGCTTTGTTCACATAGTAAAGCAGAGACCAGAGAGTTTTCACTCTCATTTCTTTCCAAAAACCACTGTAAAAGGATAAGTTAACTTTTTGTAACATGTTACATCCGTATTCAGGGTGTAAAATATTACTGTTGTAGCAGACCCCCTGCACCCCCCCCCCCCTTCCAAGATCCTCCGTTGTGACAACAAACCAGGGATCTTCTCCCCACACTCTCTGTCACAATTTAAAAAAAACACTGCTGTACAGGGCTTTGTCCACCCAGCTGCGTCATTCATTTACGGAGTTCTGTGAATGGGACTACACAAACAGACAGCCTTTGCGCCTGTCAGCTTGTAGTTCTTAAACTACCAGGGTGCTCATGAGCATTCCAGGTAGTTCATTGATGCTTCCTATCATTGTGTAACTTCCTGCCCGTATGAGGCATGAGCAGACAACTGACACCGACAGTCCGCAGGAGCTTCGCATTGCACCCCCGATCTGCTTTTTGCAGGTGCAATGCTTTTCAGGCTCCTAATAAAAAAAAATATATATATATTATATATATATATATATATATATATATACATACATATATATATATATATACATATACACATACACACACACACACACTTTTTTTTACCTGCAAAAAGATGTGCATTTATTTATTTACAAAGGTGAACTAATCCTTTAATAGCTACCACATTAGAAGAGATTTTGTGTGTCAGAGGGAGTTTCATGATGCAGAAGACTTTCAAGGTAGAGACTGTTGCAAACTTACTTGTATTAAAAGAGGTAAAGACTCCAGAGAGATAGATATCATATTACCCCTGTACAAATCATGAGTAGGACCTCATGTGGAATACGCAGTTCAGTTTTGGGCACCAATTCACAAAAAGAACATTGGGGAACTGGAGAGTGCAGAGAAGGGCAACCAAACTGATAAGAGGCATGGAGGAGATCAGCTATGAGGAAAGATTAGAGGAACTGAATTTATTCTCTCTTGAGAAGAGGAGATTAAAGGGGGATATGATCAACATGTATAAATACATCAGTGGTTCATATAGTGAACTTGGTGTAGAGTTATTCACCCTGAGGTCATCACAGAGGACAAGGGGGCACTCTTTACATCTGGAGGAAAAGAAATTTAATCTCCAAACACGGAAAGGTTTCTTCACAATGAGAGCTGTGAAAATGTGGAATAGACTCCCTCAAGAGTTGGTTCTGGCCAGCTCCGTGGATTGCTTTAAAAAAAAAAAAAAAAAAAAAAAAAAAAAGGCCTGGATTCTTTCTAAGATACACAGAATATAACTGGATACTAACATTTATAGGTAAAGTTGATCCAGGGAATATCTGATTGCCTCTTGGGGGATCAGGAAGGATTTTTTTCCCTGCAGGAGGAAATTGGATCATGCTTTGCTGGGTTTTTTTTTTGCCTTCCTCTGGATCAACTGTGGGTGTAGGATTATAACTTTTTTTTTTTTTTTTTTGGTTGAACTGGATGGAATTTTGTTTTTTTTCGGCCAGACTAACTATGTAACTTACAGGAGATTGCTAGAGACAACCCCCACTGTAGGGGTCTAGGCAGAGTACCAGATACAGGTTTGTCATTCTTCACTGGGTATACACAAAGTGCATTCAGGTATAGCTTTGTGGGAAATCTGTGATAATTTACCACTGCCATGGTTGGCTGGGGTCCAGGAAGTATGAAAAACATTTTACATAGTGATACATAGAATATGCAAGTGGCTGAATCCTCAGGCATGAGACATTTTTCAGAAAATCAGCAAAGAAAGGTATTTTGCTAATACACAGCTAGAAGAAATACTACTTACTTTTGGCAAAAAAGCTGGCCACAGTTTCTACAGTGATGTCTCCTCTCTGTTAAGGAAAACCTCACAGCACATCCTGAACAGCTGTCCATTCCTTCATCCTTCACCCAGTGGTCAGCAGCAGATCGCCCTGGTTGATCACTTACAGACCAGCTGAACACCCGTCCTCTGCCGTCACCAACCAAAATCCTGCTGTGATCCCTGTAGACAAAAAAGCAATGGACTAAAGAATTAAAGTACGCTAATCAAAATCACCAGCTGGTTGCACACCTACCCCTAACTACAAGCAATTTTCTTATTAAAAAAATGGGGGGGGGGGGGGGGGGGGGGGTGGATCAAGTCCAGATAAGAAGGAGCTTGCTATAGAATGGGTGCAAAGAACCAGCGAACACAAATGCTCCTGCGCTTGGGGATGGACTCGATGCAGGCTACAGCCACATAAGGAATGTCCTGGAACATGCACACCTTGCTGCCCTCAAATGGACCGGGGGAATCCAAATATACTGAATGGGGAAAGAACAAAGAGAGGGCGCACAGGCCTAGAGCATTACCATAAAAAATGTTTAATAAAAAATAAAGTAGGTGTTGTACTCACAAACGACAATATAGTCAAGGCACATCATAAAAGAACAGCTGGGTCAACACCGCGCTGAGTAACAGTCCGCAATAGGGAGTTTAGACATCCAAAAGACTGACGCGTTTCGAGGACTTGCCTCTTCCTCAGAGCCAACTGACCAAATGTCTGCTCCCTCTTTTATATGCTCACTACTAGTTAAACCAAAAGGTCACATGGGCCATCCTGGACACTCCCCTGTGCAGGTGGAGGAGTCACAGGGGCCACCGACATAGTGTAAGTAAACACGAAAGGTCTATAAAAATATATACACACATATATATACACATACATATATACATACACACATATATATATATATATATATATATATATATATATATATATATACACACACACACACACATACGCGTACAAATAAAACCATTGAAACTAATGACAATCATAAAATCATATGAACCATAAGTGTGCATAGTGAAAAAGAAATAAATGGAAAGTTACACATATATATAAAAAAATAAATAAAAATCCTTCCCTGGTGATGTACTGCACTGCTCGCCTTTAAATAAATGGATGGATGGATGAGCAACGCTACAAAGCTATAGAATGGGTGCCACTGTGCATGAAACAGTGGCAGTGACAAATAGAAGATACTAGTGAGATGACTGTGTGGAACAAGTGGAAAAAACTATTTTAAATAAATAATAGCACATACATAACCTAAGAATGATAGAAATGCACACAGGACAAATGATTAGAAGTCACACTATTAGTTAGCTGGCTTTTACTCTAATGCAGCTCTGTAAGGGGTAAATCTTTTCATTTATTTGGAGCACAGACAACTGGAGAAGGGAAGAGAAACAAAACCACAAAAGGTGTTGAATAGCTCTTTGGCAATTGCTTTCAGCTTTGAAAAATAGCACATGACTATGAGCTGATAACATTCAGACCACACCCGTCCTAGCCTTTCATTGCAGTTTACACTTGGGGATTCATCAGCTTATACAGAAAAAAGAATCTGGCAGATATTCTGCAAAGTAATCTGTTTCAGCTGTTTACAGGCAAGTCTCACAACAATATCAACTGGGTGAACTGCATGCAGATATAAGGCACAATTTAACACAACTCTATAATTAAAATATCGACAAATGCATTTTTTACTACAAGTCCCTAAATTTGATTTGGTACTAGTCTTTTGCTGTCCCTGTACAGCAGTGCTCAGAGAGGAGAGGGAGAAGCTGCACAAGGAGCCTATCAAGTATGTTGCAGAGTGCTGATAAGACAGGAGGGCAGAGTGACAGACAGATGTTATCAATTAGCTGCTTCTCCTTTTAATGTTTACTCACAGGTTGGGAGTAGGGAAAAGATCTGTAAGTGAAAGTGAAAATGCAGCAAAGAAAGGTCAACTCCCCTTGCCTGCCAGGCAGTACAGTGTAACAGCTGTGTACATCTCAGGGTCTAAACTAACAAACTCACAAGCAACTTTAATTAGGTACACATGTTCGACTGCTTGGTGACACAAATTGCTAATCAGCCACTTACGTGGCTGCAAATTTACTGCATTTAGACGTGGTGAAGACAACTTGCTGAAATTCAAACCGAGCATCAGAATGGGGAAGACAGGAGACTTAAGAGAATTTGAATGTGGCATGGTTGTTGGTGCCAGGCAGGCTGGTCTCAGTATTTAAACTGCTGATCCACTGGGATTTTCACACACAACCATCTCTAGGGTTTACAGAGAATGGTCCAAAAAAGAGAAAATATCCAGTGAGCAGCAGTTGTGTGGATGAAAATTCCCTGTTGATGTCAGAGCAGATTGGGCAGATTGGTTGCTGTGACATTCAGATGGTAGAGTCAGAGTCTGGTGTAATCAACATGAAAGCATGGATCAACAGTTCATGTGGGGGAGATCTTCTTGGCACTAGCAAGGTGTACGTAACAAAGTGGCCAGTGAGTGTACAAATCCTTTTGACAGGTAAAACTATTATCACATTTATTTCATCTGTGTATTTAACTCAGTTTCTTTTACACAGCAGTTACTAGCCACTTTAGATTAAAGTGCAATTATTTAAAACAAGGTGCTAAATCTACTTGAAAGGACCTTTGATTTTAAAATGGCAGTATTTAGAAATTACCGGTTAAGTAATGTTTGTTCATCCTCCAATGACATATACACCATATATTTTCATCTGTGACCTTCTCTTTGACTCATGGGGTGTTTGGATGTGGCACTTATGGGAGGAAAAGATTACAGATCCCATCACTGACACAAGTGATGCTAAAAATGGTCACATTGATTGCAAGTTTCTCCCAGAAAGCACTTATTTTACACTTTTTATATGTTATTAGCCCTTACAAAATACTATCTGCATGCCCATGCATGATTTACAATATTCATCTTAACTCACTTGGATATTCCCAGTGCAGTTATCTCTGCAGGATGTGCATTGTCTTTCCGGTCAAATGCTGTGTGCATAGTAAGTTTGCTTCGAAAGACCAACTGTCGTTCCCATCTGTATCCTGCAGCAAAGAGAAAAAAAGGAACTTTGTTACACAGGACACAGCTGAATACAGGCAACTAGCTTACAAGATCTGTACATTACATTTAATCCATCCATAATGATCAGGGTATAATAATGATCTACTGATATTAAAAACTTAGCAATGATGTTACTGATGAAATATTTTAAAGGCTGCAAGGGATGGATAGAGATGTTTGCTTCTCAAACAGTGCTTGCTGGAGAGTTTGCTGTAAGTAAAGAGAAACACTGCCTACCTGTTTTCAGTTTGTTATAGTGTCGGACCTCCTGCTGGCTTGTCTGGGCACTGCTCTGAGCTTGTAGGAACTGTTTTGAATGGCCTTCAGAATAGTTCACCACTATAAAAGCCATCTTTTTCATCCAGACTCAACTGATCCGACCAGCGCCTGGAGTCATCGGATCCACTATCCCCAGACCATGCTGCCAAGCCAGCCCTGGCAGACGATGCCCTTGCTCGATGCACAACATTGCTAGGCTGAGCTTGGCTGTCCTTTGATGCAGTGTCCTGACTGGAGCTTTGATCTTCTACATCAGAGTCACTGCTGTCATCATCCTGAGCTTCGGGTCCTGTAAGCAAACAATGGTGATCAATCTCTGTCATCTGCAGGCTAAAAATGAAAGACTGCTTCCTAGAAAAATACAAGGAAGAAATACCTAAATGTGCCTCTGAGCACTCATCTGGCAACTCCATGGCATCTGCAGGTTCCGGAGCTGGCGTCTCTGGCACTTGTAAAAACTCCATCCTCCAAAACTATAAGCAAAGTGTAGCAAGATCAGGAATTAACTATTTATAATTAACAGGTATTTTTTTTTAAAAAAGGATTTAATTATACAACAAATTTCTAAGAGGACTGTGTTGTTCTGGAGTTCTGAGTGGCCAGTGAAGTAACCTTCTGCACAAAGGCTTTACTAATGGACAACTTAAAGGATAGGTTCACCTTTCGTAACATGTTACATGCAGGGTCGGTGCTAGACTATCTTGCACCCTAGGCCCCTACCCCTTCCCCCCCAATCCCAGTTGCGACAGCTACTGAGGAACCTTTTTCGCCCCTCTAGCTGTCACAATTAAAAAAAAAAATGCGACTGTGTGGGGCTCCACCCACCGGCCATGTCACTCATACACAGTATTCTGTGAATGGGGAAAACTACAAGTTCCGACAGCCTTTGCGGCTGTCGGCTTGTAGTTTTCAATGAACTACCACGGTGGCTCATTGAGCCTTCCTGTCAGTAAGTATCCGCTTGCCCATACAAGACGTATGAGCAAGCAGATATGCTGACAGGTCAGGGAGAGACCTACATGGCACCAGCAATCTGCTGACCGCTGGTGCAATGCTTTAGAGGCTCCAGAAACAAAAAATAATAAATGCACATTTTTTTTTATCTGCAAAAAAATGTGCATTTATTATTTTTTGTTAAAAGGTGAACTTATCCTTTAACTTGAGTGAAACATTGAACAAAGCTTCCTAGGGGCTCATGATAATGATTCCCTAATGGGAACAGAGTCAGCTGGCATTTGTCATTTTGCAAAAATCAAAACACCCACAGAAGCTTTCCAATCCAAACGAATATCCTGTCAAGTTCAAGAATAAATATAATTTAAGCAATATACTGTATTTACACAGTAACAAAATAAAAAGAGATATTATGTGCAGTATCCTATGTCAATCAGATACTAGGGCAGACAGTTTATAAAAATCTCATGTTAATAGCAGGAAATTTATAGCTGGCTCACCTGCTAAGGATTTTTATACATCTCTGCTTTTGCAAACTCCAAGTGGGCTTTCATGTGTTTTACATTGGGGATAGGCTTCATGTAGCCACTCTCCCATAAAGCCCAGATCGTTTTTCAGGGCTGCAGTGATGGTTGTCCTTATGGAACTTTTTCCCATCTCCACACAGGATCTCTGGAGTTCAGTCAGAGTGATCATCAGGTTCTTGGTCACCTCTTTTACCAAGACCCTTCTCCGACTGCTCAGTTTGGTTGGACAACCAGCTCTTGGAAGAGTCATGGTTGTGCCAAACATTTCCCATTTGAGAATTATGGAGATCGCTGTGCTCTTGGGAACCTTCAGTGCAGCAGAAATTTTTTTGTAGCCATCCCCAGATCTGTGCCTTGCAATAATCCTGTCTCTAAGTTTTGCAGGCAGTCCCTTTGACCTCATGGCTTTTGCTCTGATACAGTATGCAATGTCAGCTGTGAGGCCTTTTATAGAGAGGTGTGTGGCTTTCCAAATCATCTCTAATCAATGCAATTTACCACAGGTCGACCCCAATCAAGGTGTAGAAACATCTCGGTAACAATCAAGAGAAATAGGAGGCACCTGAGCTAAATTTCCAGTGTTGTTGCAAAAGGTCTGAATACATATGCCAATGTGATAGCAGTTTTTCCTTTTTCCTACATTTGCAAACATTTCTAAAACTCTGTTTTCACTTTGTCATTATGGGGTACTGAGTGTAGAATAATGCCAAAAAATGAATTTAAACAACTGTAGTATCAGGCTGCAATATCTCCTAGATTGTAAGCTCAAAAGAGCAGGGCCCTCGAACTCCTCGTGTATTGTTTTGTTACTGCATTGTCTCATGTACTGTCCCCCACTATAATGTACTGAGCAAACCTTTTGGAGCTATATAAATACTGTATAATATTAATAATAATAACCAAATTTAAAAATAGTGAAGGGGGTCTGAATACTTTATGAAAGCACTGTATGAATGTGCATTAAGGACCTTTGATTGTAAGTTCTTTGAGGGCAGGAACTGATGTGAATATACAATATACGTAAAGCGCAGTGTAAATTGACGGCGCTATACAAGTAACTGTAATAAATAAAATAAAAATGTGCCTGCTGTACCATGTTCTTGTATGAAAAAGTATCCTGTTCTCTTTGTATTGTTTCCTTTCTCTGAAATCCCTGGTGTTCCTGCGAGTCTACCTGCATTCCTATTTCAAACTGACTATAGCAAGCAAGAGAGCACATCCATCTTGGTATGGCCAGATTTTTGGAAGTGCAGGAAGCCTGGCGGTCCTCCAACGGTCAGACTTGCAAGTTGGAATTTAAGTGATAGGGTCAGCATGTACTTACACGAACCACTCCATCTGAATGTCCTGTGACAATGACATTCTGGGTGTCCCACTCATTCATTTCAGACACACAGCAGCACAGTATCTGTTGGCTTCTTCCAGTGAAGGTGTTCACACTGACAATGGGATTGCCATTTATACTCCATACGTGTATATATGTGCCAGCACAAGACACAATGTCACCCTGAAAATACAAGGGAATTTAAATTCAGCACAAGACTTTGCAAAATGTATATGAACACAAAAAATGATTAAAAAAAATGTATTTTTATCAGACTTTACTGAAGTTAACATGATACTGTACACAAATCGTGAAACGTTGTTGTCCCTTAATATCAGTGAATATGAACTCTGGTCTCCACTTAAGCACATATCACCTGATCAAATTTCTATGCTTTTGGCTATGTGACCAGCACTGGAGGAAGCTGCACTGTCTGCAATATAGGTATATAAAGTATTCTGTATTAGCCTCTCTGCTACCTATTATTTATACACCCCAGTGAGGATGTTAACATTTCAGAATAGTTCAACTTTAAAGGGTATGCCCACTTCTGCAGTCAAATTTGAGATTAAGAGATCTCTAAGGAGATGTCATGACTGATTCTAATAGTTTTTGAGCAGTCTTTCTCCCCACACAAAGTGAGCTATACCTCACTAGGGGTAACTGCTATCACCACCAACATAGGGGTAGGGTGGGGGAAATTTGATTTCACTGTACCAGAAATTCGATTTCACTGTACCAGTCCAGGTGTGGGGTAATTTTATTGCCATAGACCACAAATTCTGAAGGGTGGGGGGTAAAATTTCACTGCCACTGACCACTATTGCTTGGGGGCGGGGAAGAGTGATTACCAAACTTAACAGTCCTAACATAAATGCTGGGGTTATTATTGCATCTGCTGACACCAATACTGGGGGATATTAATGCATCAACTGACAACAATGCTGGGGGTTATCATTACATCCACTGACACCACCACCATTGTTGGGGTTTAATATTGCATTCACGGACACCAATCCAAAAAATGCAGCATGCCCAAAATTTTTGGGCACGGAGGTGTCAAAATCTCTGCTGCTATTGTGCAGCCCTCTGGAGGTAACAGAGGCCGCACCTAAGGCATTCTAGAATTTTCCAGTTGACCATCACTGATATACTCAATACTATCAAACACATCTGAATACACACAGGTTTTCGGAATACTATATTTTTCACTATGGTGGTTCTTTTTATTGTGACTACATATAAAACTTCAGTTAACAATACGATCCATTTGCGCCAATACTTACTGTTAACTCATTTATACAAAGAGCTGACACTGGAGCTCTGTGTCCACGTAACTGGGTTACAAATGACAGCTTGTTAAGGTCCCAGATAATGCATGTTCGATCACGTGATCCACTTACAACTATGTGATAGGCCAGTGAGGCAGTCAAACATGTCACTGTGTCTGTATGCCCAATCAAAGCCTGGAAAATATGAAAGAAAAATGTGCTTGAAATAGAACACACACTGCAAACAGGTGCTCAAATTTTCATCATTAGATAGGTACTATAATTTAAATAAGATAAATAGATTGTGATTCCACGTTCACAGATTGACTGAAATCCATTACAATATGTCTGTTGCAAAAAAAATTGTGGAAAACGAAAACAAAAAAAACACTATTTTTTTTCCAATAATCTAATCAATGACCTGATACTCCAGGGACATTTGAACATTTCAACCAATCTTGCGTCTCACTAAATAAACCCAGGTTAAACAGGGTCTACACTGTCCTGGAGTATGCCTGAATAACCTAAAATAACTATTTTTCAAAACATCTGGCATGGATTTTGTAAATGTTACCCTTGGAACTAAAGTGGAACTTTAGTCAGAAAATGAGGTCCTTCTAGATCAGTTCGGGCTTTGAAGTTTATAGCTATGTAAAACATTAAAAATAAGTGCCTATACTGTTTAAAATCCAGTAATACACTGTATCATCCTGCTCTGCACATGTTTTCTATTTTTAGGCACTGTGCCGAATTTGTAGAGGCCAATCTGCTGACAGCCTAAATATTTACTGCTGCTCAGGGGCTCTGGGCTTCAGCAAAATGGCAGCCTCCAGCAACAAGAAACAGGAACAATGCTGGAGGCAATTTACAGAAAACACTAATTTTGGTAGCATAATTATTAACGTGGAATATATGTTCCTTCTTAAAGAACATTATACAGTGGAGAAAATATTTGATCCCCTGCAGATTTTGTAAGTTTGCCCACTTACAAAGAAATGGAGGGTCTATCATTTTTATCATTGGTGTATTATAAATGATAAAGACAGAATATCAACCAAAAATCCAGAAAAAAAAAAACCACACGATACAGATGTTATGGACACAAGAGATAGGTCGTGGATGGGTCTTCCAGCATGACAATAAAGCAAAACATACTGCGAGTGGCTCAAGAGGTAGCACATTAACTGCTTAAGGACAGCCCACAGAAAAACACTGTGCGCCCCTGCCGACCCGCGGGTTCCCCGGTTTGATCCCTGAGGGATCACTCATCCGATTTAGGCCAGCGATGTCCGGTCCAAGTCAGATGATCGATCCCTGTCCTATCCTGTCCTGTGTGGACAGTTACACAGGACAGGAAGTGATGAAATCTTCTCTCTTTGGGCACATTAAGTCCCAGAGAGAGAAGAATCAACAAAAAAGGGAGTACAAGCACTACACAATTAGTTAGAACACTCTAGGACACATTTAACCTCTTGATCCCCCCACCCAGTTAACTGCCCCATCACCAGTGTCATTAGTACAGTGTACAGATTTTTTTTGCTGATCACTGTATTAGTATCGCTGGCAACTTCAGATAGCACTAGCGTCAGTTAGTGCCCCTCCCAGATAGCGTCAGATTGTCCATTAGTACACCAGTGATCACATTTAACCCCTTTATTGCCAGAAACACGCTCACATACACAATAAACCTCCATTGCTAGTAGCATAGTGTCTGAATGGATCAATATCTTTGAGCAGATCAGCACTATACCAGCGTTCACATTAGTATAGCGTCCCCAAAAACACAGCATTAGCGGGATCAGCCCCGGGACCTGCCAGGACCTGCGTTTAGCCCCTACGCTTCCCCCCCTTCTCCCCCAGCAAGTGCAGTGTCAGTAGGTCACTGTCACTTGATACATTGCACACAAAATTGCAGTGTTCGCAGAATCAAAAAATAAAAAGCGCACAGGTGATCAAATACCACCGAAAGAAAGCTTTATTTGTGTGAAAAAAAGGACCTAAATTTTGTTTGGGTACAGCATTGCATGACCGCACAATTACCAGTTGAAATAGTGCAGCGCCGAAAAGCAAAAAGAGGCCTGGTCATCAAAGGGGGTAAATCCTCAGGATAGCAAGTAGTTAAGGTCATGGAGTGGCCTAGTCAGTCTCCAGACCTTAATCCTATAGAAAATGTATGGAGGGAGATGAAACTTCAAGTTTCCAAGTGATAGCCAAGAAACCTCAAGGATTTAGAGAAGATCTGTAAAGAAAGGTGGACCAAAATCCCTCCTGAAGTGTGTGCAAACCTGGTAACCAACTACAAGAAACATCTCTGTGCTTGCCAACAAGAGTTTCTGCACCAAGTTATAAGTCATGTTTTGCTTGGGGATCAAATACTTATTTTACTTACTGAACTGCAACTCAATTTATAACATTATATCATGTGTTTCTGGATTTTTGGTTGATACAGTGCATCCAGAAAGTATTCACAGCGCTTAACTTTTGCCACATTTTGTTAGGTTACAGCCTTATTCCAAAATGGATTAAATTATTTTTTTTCCTCAACACTCTACAAACAATACTCCATAATGACGTGAAAGAAGTTAGTTTGAAATCTTTGCAATTTATTAAAAAAAAAAAAACGAAAAAAAAAAAAAAAAAAAAACATGTACATAAGTATTCACAGCCTTTGCCATGACACTCAAAATTGAGCTTTGGTGCATCATGTTCCCACTGATCATCCTTGGTTGAGATGTTTCCACCTGTGGGAAATTCAGTTGATTGAACATGATTAGGAAAGGCATAAAACTGTCTATATAAGGTCCCACAGTTAACAGTGCATGTCAGAGCACAAAACAAGCCATGAAGTTCAAGGAATTGTCCGTAGACCTCTGAGACAGGATTGTATCAAGGCACAGATCTGGGCAACGGTACAGAAAAATTTCTGCAGCATTGAAGGTCCCAATAAGCACAGTGGCCTCCATCATCCGTAAATGGAAGAAGTTTGGAACCACCAGGAATTTTACTAGAGCGGGCCACCTGGCCAAAATGAGAAATCGAGGGAGAAGGGCCTTAGCCAGGGGGGTAACCAAGCACCCGATGGTCACTGAAAGAGCTCCAGCATTTCTCTGTGGAGAGAGAAGAATCTTCCAGAAGAACAACCATCTCTGCATCACTCCACCAATCAGGCATGTATGGTAAAGTGGCCAGATGGAAGTCACTCCTCAGTAAAAGGCAAATAGAAGCCCGCCTGGGACGAAAGCCACTCTCAGACAATGAGAAACAAAACTCTCTGGTATGATGAAAAAAAGATTGAACTCTTTGGCCTGAATGCCAAGCGTCACATCTGGAGGAAACCAGGCAACGCTCACCACCTGGCCAATACCATCACTACAATGAAGCATGGTGGTGGCAGCATCATGATGTGGGGATGTTTTTCAGCGGCTGGAACTGGAAGACTAGTTAGGATTGAAGGAAAATAGAATGCAGCAATGTACAGAGACATCCTTGATGAAAACCTGTTCCAGAGCATTTTGGACCTTAGACTGGGGCGACAGTTCATCTTTCAACAGGGCCATAAGCGCACAGCCCACATAACAAAGGAGTGGCTATGGGACAACTCTGTGAATGTCCCGGAGAGGCCCAGCCAGAGCCCAGACTTGAACCCAATTGAACATCTCTGGAGAGATCTGAAAATAGCTGTACACCGATGCTCCCCATCCAACCTGATGGAGCTTGAGAGGTACTGCAAAGAAGAATGGGAGAAATTGCCCAAAAATAGGTGTGCCAAGCTTGTAGCATCATACTCAAAACGACTTGAGGCTGTAATTGGTGCTAAAGGTGCTTCAACAAAGTATTGCGCAAAGGCTGGGAATACTTATGTGCATGCAGTTTTTTTATTTTTTATAAATTGCAAGGATTTTCACATTGTCATTATGGGGTATTATTTGTAGAATGTTGAGAAAAAAAATTAATTTAATCCATTTTTGGAATAAGGCTGTAACATAACAAAATGTAAATACTGTGAATACTTTCTGCATGCACTGTATTCTGTATAATTTAAAATACACCTATGATAAAAATTATAGACCCTTCATTTCAAGTGGGCAAACTTACAAAATCCCCACTGTATTTATCAACTTTCTATGGGTAAAGTTCCACTTTAAAGCAAGATTCAATATCACAAAATGGTATTCTCCACACTATGACAATTGATGCCACTGACCTGTTTCAGAGTAAGGGCTTTAGCTTTTTCCTTTGAGGTGCCGACTTCCCATACACAAATCACTGTACTTGTTCCTCCAGTGATGACTAGTTTGGGGTTTGGACAAATGGCACACAAGATCTGGCCCCACTCAGATAAGCATTCGTACACAACAACTGCCTGCAATGCAAATTAAAATTACAGCCTGGTAAAAATAAAATATTGGAAGATTTCCATTTTGAGAGCACCAATGACATCATGACACCACATTCAAGGCAGAATACAATCCTACAGTATATATATTGTAAATAAGCTGGAATGTTGTTATCTCTGCCACACAATGGGCAGTCCATGACTAGGACAAATCATCTAACAAAGGTGATCCCTCTATTACCTTATCTATGCAAATACTTGATTATAAAATTGTAAAGGTAAACCATTATCAGTATGCAAAAAGTCAAAGTGCGCATCACAAACCTTGTCAGAATCATAGGTTCCCAGCCTACAGCTGAGGTCTGCATAGCCCCATGCAAAAGTCTTGTTCCATGCTGGAGGAATTAGAACCTTGTTTTGTTCCACAGCCAGAATCCCTTTATCTGTACAAACAATCTGACCCACAGGCTCCTTCAGTTCTTAAAAAAGAAAAAATGAAATGGCATTAAAGGGTATATAAAAACAAGTAATAACCTCTGTTAAATATACCAATGAAAATGTTTTATCTTATCTGTACAAAAAAAAAAAAAAAAAATCTGTTCATCCAGGCAGAACTCTTATGAGCTGCTAACTTCCTGTACTCTCTGCCTCTGGCCCAGGGGCAGAGTGACAACTCATGGGGCCCCCAGGCAATAGGGGATCATGGGGCTCCTGTGTCCTCACCCACACTCAAACCACCCAAAAACGCCTATGAAAGCTACCAGGGACATCTCATGGGGCCCCCTACTGACCCTGGGCCCAGGGGCAGTGCCCGAGTTCCCAAATGGTCAGTCCGCCCCTACTCTGGACTGTTATCAGCTAGTATGGCTTACAGCTATCTCTGTGGACTACAAAACATGTCCCCTGTTTTAGAGAAGAGAGGGAGGTGTTATGTAGTCCAAACACAATCCCTGTTCCAAAGTGAAAACACTACTCAGTGTGGTTGTCACCTTGGGACAGGAAGTGTTTTAATGACAGGATTACCATGTTAAAATAAAAGAAAAAAGGTGTGAAAAAAAATGCAGTACTAATAAATGTTTGTTTCTGGGTTAAGTTGACAAAATGATAATAGACAAAAGTTCAGGAAAATATTACCTGGCAGCAGGTGATCAGTGTTCATTCATCTACTGTATGTTACTACAGTACAGATGTCTTTTTTTTTTTAACCAACAAGTGGGCTCATTTACCAGAACTAAAGCAATGCATTGTGGCCAAACAGGTACATATATACATTGTGTAAGAGGTCTAAATATGAGAATTGGAATGTTAAAAGTGCAACATGATCGTTTCCCCTATTTCCTGAAATTTGAAACTGCGCTTGAAGTGCCTTATTTAAAAAAAAAACAGATTTTCTGTTGATGGCATACCACTGGAAAGACTATGCAGGTAGCTTCTAAAAAAATTACATTATAAAATTCATGGAAAAATATAATACAACTGTAATTGCATTTGCCTAGTGTAACAAAAAAAAAAAAAAAAAGTAAAAAAAAAACAGCCCCCATCTAAAGATAGGTCTCGCTTCATAGGAAGAAAAAAAAAAAAAAAGGTCTCCCCAAGGGTTCATTTACACTTGCGGTCATCATTGCATTGAAAAGTGACCACAGTGGAACACTTTTCATCCTGGATGCCTACTTTAATTCTTAAAGGCCTGCAGCACCAATGGGAACCATGTAAATTACACGATTGGCGATGGTACTGCATACTGTGTTATACCTGTAGTATAATTTTTGCACATTACAACAATGGCTATGTCTACTGGCTGGCAGCTATGTTAACCTGGGCAGCTGGGTGATCAAGGGTGGGAAACCCGTGACTCAACCACCTATTTTCACAATCCCACCATCAGCCCATGTAAACAAGGCCTAACAGTATAGCATGAAGCGGATACCTTTGACTGGAGCCAGGGAAGGTCTTAAGTTGTCCAAATGATGAAAAAATATCTTGTCACATGCAGATCCCAGTGGCATGGATACTGATGACATGTCTCCATTAACCCTGCTTCTGACACGTTTTGGTGGATGTGGCTTTTTAAACAACTGTTAGAGAGGAAATGGGTGCATTGTTGAGAAGTCTGGTGTCAAATATTCAACTTTGAGTTCACATATAGCTTGCCAATTACAAAGCTGCACAATAATTTTATTGAGGTGGATTACATCCATCTAAATACTTAGGAAACACTTATTCACTCAACCAGACTACAGATGAAAAACATAATTATGAGCAGCAAAGGCATACAAAATGTCTGTATAGGAGCATTGTATGCTCAGTATTTCACAGTTATGAAGACAGGTCCAACAACAGCACTGCCATAGTAAGGAACTGTGCTGCAGATTATACATACCAAATGTTTATAATATAAAATAGAATCTGAAAGATTGCATTCTTTTCTCTACATTTACCTGCTTTGGTATCTGCCCAAAATTGTTGATAAAGCCTATAGTAGCAGTCTCTTTCAATGGGTCATTAATGTTGTAGATGTCCACTTGTCCCTCATAGAAAAGATGGTGAAAGACGTTGACAGCATCAACAGCAGCTGGTCCCTGTTGCTTGTATCCAAAGATCAGGTCTATCCATTCATGCAGGTGGGCACTGACGTAGTCACATTCCAGGGCCTGAATAAACAGTAGCAGCCTTTATGCACAGGTCTAAGGCAAACTCTATTATCCAAATCCTATACATTTTTCATACAGTAGTTTTACTTTTACATGGAATCTACAAACTATAATGAATCTAGTAATTAATTACAGAATTTACTAGATAAATATACTGTATGCTAGTAAGAATAATAAAATCAATAAGCTGGTAAAGTCAAGACTAAGACTGGCCATACGCTAGTAGGTTTTCAAATGTTCGTATGAACATTCATACAAAAACTTCTTAGTACATTCGATGACTTGACAAATGTTATGAGATAGTACTTCAAAACGTTGTTCTCTTTTACCATTCAGTTTTGGAATGAATAGACTTTCCTGAATGAAAACCACATACACTCAAAAATTTGAGAAACAAATTTCATGATACTCCTTCAAGCTTTTCCATCACAGTGGTTGAAAACGAACATTGATTAGACCCCACTGATTCGAACATCGCACAAATGTTCTTAAAGCAAAAAAAAGTGAATAACATTTTACTAGCATATGGCTAGCTTAAACCCTTGGCACCGACATCACACAAATATGCGGCCTCACAGAACTGGAGTTTTTTCTGTGGGGCCTCATATCTGCGTATCGGTCTTTGTGCTGGGCACAAAGACGGAGCTGTCAGTGAGAGCCCCGGGTCCCATAAGAACAATCGGGACGTGTAACTCGATTCTGGGTCACCTGATTGCTGTAATAGCCTCTGACTGGCTGGCCTCACAGAACTGGACTTTTTTCTGTGGCGCCGCATATGTGTATCTGTCTTTGTTCCGGGCACAAAGACAGGGTTGTCAGTGAGAGCCCCAGGTTCCACATTAATGATCGGGACCCAGGACTCCCGATTCCAGGTCAACTGATTGCTGTGATAGCCTCTGATTGGCTATCACAGTGATCAGTCACTGTGAAGCCCACCCCCAATGTTTTCTTTTTTCTCTGGATCTCTCTCTCTCTCCTATCAGATAGAAGAAAAAAACAAAAACGTGTGCAGAGAAAAATAAAAAATAAATGAATATTAACCACCTCCCGTCCAGTGCATATAAACGGCCGGATGGTGGCAGTGCAGGGTCGGGTGGCCATTTATAAACGGCCTCCCAGCACCCTGCTTGTGCGCGCTCCCTGGGAGAATGCAGCACCGCGATCCGGTGCCTGCTGTGTCCTCCGAACACAGTGGAACACTGATCGTCGGACGGGACCTCTGTACGAGGTTCCGATCATGTGATCACTGATTGGCCAATCAGTGATCACATGCAGAGTAGTAAGCAAGATGTCACTTCGGACATCATTGCTTACTACGTGTGAAATCTGTGAATGATCACAGAGGTCACATGGTACAAGGCTATTCACAACAGCCATGTACCATGTGACAAGCTGTGACCAATCACAGCTCACTCAGTAGTTCTCAATGGCTGCAAGAATGCAGCTAGAGAGGAGAAATGATTGATTTTACATCCTTTATGGGTGTAAAAGCAATCAGTGTAAAAAAAAAAAAAAAAAAAAAAAAAAAAAAAAATCATCACCCCCCACACGTGGTACAGTGTCACCATGGTGACAATGTACTGCTAGGGTGACAGTATGTAAAAAAAAAAATATAATAATAATAAATAAAAAAAATATAAAAAATAAAAAAAAAAAAAATGTTTAAAAATGATACTTTTTGGTTATAAACTAATTTGAGGTTTTTTTTTTTTACTAAAAATATAAACGGAATAAATTTTGGCCAAGATTTATGATGAAATACTATTTATTTGCAAAATTTTATAAGAAAAAAACTTTCAAAATGTTTGGACTTTTTAATTTACATAGCAAAAAAAAAAAAAAAATCCCAGTGGTGAATAAATACCACCAAAATAAATTTTTATCTGTCTCAAAAAAAATGCTAAAAAATTCATATGGGTACAGTGTTGCATGACCGCGCAATTGTCATTCAAAGTGTGATAGCGCTGAAAATTGGCCTGGACAGGACGTAGGTAAAAGTGTCCGGACTGGAAGTGGTTTAAAAAATAAAATAAAGAACAAGGTTTGATCTAGGTCAGTGCCAGGGTTAGTAAAGGTCATGGTCAACATTTTTTTCTTTCTATTTTTTAAAATTAGTATTAGTGTTTTAGGTAGTGTTTAAAAAAAGAAAACAAAAAAAAACAAAATGTGTACTATTGTTTTTGGGCTGTACAACAGGTACAAACAACAAATAACATTCACATATGTGGTATTGCTGCGATTGTCAGGAGCTGGAGAATTTATTTTGGGTTGTTCTTTGGTGTTAGGTTATGGTAGTAACAAGAAACACACAGCTAAATTAAAAAAAATATATATTTTTTTACTATTTTGGGCCAGTTTTCCTTTGAAAAAAAAAAAAAAAAAAAATCAGGAGATATCCATTACCATTTACCACCAAATGAAAGCCCAATTAATCCTGAAAAAAACAAGGTATAATTCACCTGGATGTACAAAATAGTTGTGATGATATGTACTGTCAACGTTGCTAAATTTTACTTTGGCATTAAGATTTGTTTTATCTTAGGTGTGAAGGGGTTAAAGTGGAACTTGCTTCCAGCAAGAATAAACAGGAACAATGCTGGAGGCAATTTATAGCACACACTAATTTTTTTAGCAGAATTATTAATGTGGAATTTACAGTATATTCCTTACTACAGATTATAATTTTTTTTTATCAAGTTGTTAGTTGGGTAAAGTTCCACTTTAGCGGTGAGCTGTAACAGGTAAACCATATCGATACTTAAATAATATACAATGTGAAGACAAATACAGTACATAAAATCTGTTTCACCATGCTATATAACATTACAGTATATGTTGTCACACTTGTAGAAGCTAAAAATATGTACTATTGGTGTTGTCGACAGACCCACGAGTCTAACATGAATACTGAGACATGACTGTATCATACTGTAACACTATTAAGTAACCTCAGTTTGAAATAAAAGACAGCTGCCCATATCTGGCCCCACTTAGCAATATATTCATTTATATCTCCGTTTCACTGTTTTTAGGAGTAGCTCCAATGCAGGGCTCTAGCACAAAGTAGAAAAGCAACCCGGCAAAGATATACAGTATCTCACAGAAGTGAGTACCCCCTCACATTTTTGTAAATATTTTATTCTATCTTTTCATGTGACAACACTGAAGAAATGACACTTTGCTACAATGTAAAGTAGTGAGTGTACAGCTTGTATAACAGTGTACATTTGCTGTCCCCTCAAAATAACTCAACACACAACCATTAATGTCTAAACCGCTGGGAACAAAAGTAAGTACACCCCTAAGTGACAATGTCCAAAGTGGGCCCAAAGCGTCAATATTTTGTGTGGCCACCATTATTTTCCAGCACTGCCTTAACCCTCTTGGGCATGGAGTTCACCAGAGCTTCACAGGTTGCCACTGGAGTTCTCTTCCACTCCTCCATGATGACATCACGGAGCTGGTGGATGTTAGAGACCTTGTGCTCCTCCACCTTCCGCTTTAGAATGCCCCATAGATACTCAATAGGGTTTAGGTCTGGAGACATGCTTGGCCAGTCCATCACCTTTACCCTCAGCGTCTTTAGCAAGGCAGTGGTTGTCTTGGAGGTGTGTTTGGGGTTGTTATCATATTGGAATACTGTCCTGTGGCCCAGTCTCTGAAGGGAGGGGATCATGCTCCGTTTTAGTATGTCACAGTAATATTGGCATTCATGGTTTCCTCAATGAACTGTAGCTCCTCACTGCCGGCAGCACTCATGCAGTCCCAGACCATGACACTCCCACCACCATGCTTGACTGTAGGTAAGACACACTTGTCTTTGTACTCCTCACCTGGTTGCCGCTACACACCCTTGACACCATCTGAACCAAATAAGTTTATCTTGGTCTCAACAGACCACAGGACATGGTTCCAGTAATCCATGTCCTTAGTCTGCTTGTCTTCAGCAAACTGTTTGCAGGCTTTCTTGTGCATCATCTTTAGAAGAGGTTTTCCTCTGGGACGACAGCCATGCAGACCAAGTTGATGCAGTGCGCGGTGTATGGTCTGAGCACTGACAGGCTGACTCCCCACCCCTTCAACCTCTGCAGTAATGCTGGCCGCACTCATACGTCTATTTCCCAAAGACAACCTCTGGATATGACGCTGAGCACATGCACTCAACCATCTTTGGAAGACCATGGCGAGGTCTGTTCTGAGTGGAACCTGTCCTGTTAAATCGCTGTATGGTCTTGGCCACCGTGCTGCAGCTCAGTTTCAGGGTCTTGGCAATTTTCTTATAGCCTAGGGCATCTTTATGTAGAAGAAAAATGAGGTGCCATGTTGAACTTCCAGTGACCAGTATTAGAGAGTGAGAGCAATAATACCAAATTTAACACACCTGCTCCCCATTCACATCTGAGACCTTGTAACACTAACGAGTCACATGACACCGGGGGAGGGAAATTGGCTAATTTGGACATTGTCACTTAGGGGTATACTCACGTTTGTTGCCAGCGGTTTAGACATTAATGGCTGTGTCTTGAGTTATTTTGAGGGGACCTCAAATTTACACTGTTATACAAGCTGTACACTCACTATGTCACATTGTAGCAAAGTGTCATTTCTTCAGCATTGTCACATGAAAAGGTATAATAAAATATTTACAAAAATGTGAGGGGTGTTATCACTTCTGTGAGATACTGTACATTTAAAAATCTACCTGCTCAATATACAGTATGGATCATTTTAATGAATGGCTGAGCTCACATGTCATTGTTTTTCTATTTACCTCTCTGTGTACGCGAATAAATTCTCGTGGGTCACCTTTTGCCCATGGGGGTAGAATTACATCACACAGTTTTGTTCCATTTTGTTTACAACCTATATGAAAACAAAAGTATATTATCCACGTTAGTGGAATTAACCATCACATTAATATCTTGTGTCTAAAGTACTTAACATCTGTAGAAATTATCATGTTTCTCAAATACAATTAAATAGAAAAGTAGAGTATGTTTAGTGAATATTTATGTGCATTGCATGTCCATGAAGATTTTGAGTAATCGATGCAGTGCTTACATTCATTTCTCATATGAAGTTCACACAATATGCAGTGAGCCTCAGACTTAGAAGTAGTAAAGCAGAATCCTTCTATAGCACTGCAAAGCAAGAATCCCAGCCTGTATATGCAGCAATATAAAAAGCAAATGCTACTTTCCCCTATTAGAACCTATACACTGATCAAATATAATAATATAACGCGCCACAAAACTAAATGCAACATGAAAGGGCAGTCCTCAGTCCAATACCCCCCTGGGTAAGAAAGTCCTTATTATGCAAACAGAGGCGCTCCTCTTCGTATTCCAATCTTCTCAATTACCTATCAGGATTTGCTTTCACCCCGTTGTGATATATACTGTGTGATATATACTGTGCAATTCTGTGATCTTCCACTGTGCTAATACAAAACTCCAAAAGAAAAGAACTAATATAGTGTAGTATGTTTATACTCAAATGCTATTCAAACCACTATGTGCAAGACACAAATACATGTGCCCCTTTCCCCCTAAATACTCTTACCCACTGTGGGTGAAAACTGTGCATTTCACTTTAAACGTGACCAAATCCACAACACGTGAGATCGCTCCTTTTACAACCACCAATGTGCCAAACCACAGCAAAGTGTGTGATCCCTTCCCCTTCAGTCATGTACCGTTCCCTGCAAATCTTGTAAAATAGCCTCTATGCAATCCAAATGTTATCGTGACCAATCGCCTCCTCACTCCTTCACAAGTTCTCAGTAGCCATGTGACAAAACATACTTCCATAGTGTAATATGCATAAAATCCACTTTAATAGTAACAAAAATGTGTTTACATGTGTCATGGGTGAAAACGGCTTGCTTTCCAATAATCAAAATTGCCGCTACGGCGCTTTTGGTTGTGACTGAAGTCACATCCGACTGACTCGTTTCGTCATAAGAGTGACTTCCTCGTAGGCAATTTGGATTATTTGAGGAAATTACCTATGAGGTAGTCAATCTTATGCTGAAACCCATCAGTTGGATGTGACGTCAGACAAAACCGGTAGCGCCGTGGCGGCCATTTTGCAGAATTGCACAGTATATATCACAGTGGGGTGAAAGAGAATCCTGATGGGTAATTGAGAAGATTGGAATACGAAGAGGAACACTTCTGTTTGCATAATATACACCGATCAGCCATAACTTTATGGCCACACACCTAATATTACGTAGGTTCCTCTTTTGCCGTGAAAACAGTCTGCCCCGTAGAGGCATGGACGCCACTAGACCTCTGAAGGAATGCCAGGGTATCTGGCACCAAGCCAGCAGATCATTTAGGTCCTGTAAATTGAGTGCTGGGGCCTCCATGAATTGGACCGGTTTCTCCAGAACATACCACAGATGCTCCTGGATTGAGATCTTTAGAATTTGAAGGCTAAATCAACATCTCAAACTAGTTGTGTTCCTCAATCCATTCTTGAACCCTTTTTGCAGTGTGGCAGGGCGCATTATCCTGTTGAAAGAGGCCACTGCCATCAGGGAATACCGTTTTCATGAAGGGGTGTTCTTGGTCAGCAACAATGTTTAGGTAGGTGGTATGTGTTAAAGTAACATCCCCATGAATGACAGGACCCAAGGTTTCCCAGAAGAACATTGACCAAAGCATCAGACTGCCTCTGCTGGCTTGCCTTCTTCCCATACTGCATCCTGGTGCCATCTCTTCTCCAGGTTAGCGACACACATGCACCAGGCCATCCACATGGTGTAAAAGAACAGGATTCATGAGACCAGGCAACCTTCTTCCATTGCTCTGTTATCCAGTTTTGATGCTCACGTGCCCAATGTAGGCGCTTTTGGATGTGGACACCGGTCAGCATGGTCACCCTGACCGGTCAGACCCATACGCAAACTTCCATTTTTATTTTCTGCTTTCCTTCAGGGACAACATGTTCACTTGCTGCCCAATATATCCCACCCACTTTCAGATGCCATTGTAACAAGATAGTCAATGTCATTCACTTTATCGATCAATGGTCATAAAGTTATGGTTGATTGTTGCATACGCAAATCAGCCATAACATTATGACCACCCACCATAACCCATCAAGGTATAGACTCCACTAGACGTCTGAAGGTATGCTGTAGCATTAGGCACCAAGCCATCAGTATAACTAGTGAGGTAGGGCCTCCATGGATGAGACTTGTTTTTTCAGCACAACCAATGGATACTCGATTGGATTGAGATCTAAAGAGTTTGAAGTCAACACTTCAAACTCGTTGTGTTTCTCAAACTATTCTTGAATTCATCAGATCAGAGAACCTCCTTCCATTGCTTCATGGTCCAGTACGGATACTCACATGCCCACTGTGGGAGCTTTTGGCTGTGAATATGGGTCAGCAGGGGCACCCTGATCGGTCTGTGCATACGCAGCAAACTGCAATGGACTGTGTACTTTGACACCTATCAGAACCAGCATAAACTTTTTTTTTTCAGCAATTTGAGCTACAGTAGCTCTTCTATTGGATCTGAATACAGAAGCAAGTCTTTGCTCTCAATGTTCATCAATACGCCTTGGCTATCCATGACCCGGTTTCCAGTATTCCTTCCTTGAACCACTTTTTGGCGCTGCAGTTTTGGAGATGCTGTGGCTCCGTCATCTAGTCACTACAATTTGGCCCTTTTCAAAGTTGCTCAAATATTTACATCTGCCCATTTTTTTCTGCTTTCGACACCAACATCAGGGACAATATGTTCACTTTCTACCTTATATATTCCACCCACTTTCAGATGCCTTTGTAACAAGATAATCAATGTTATTCACGTTACCTGTCAGTGGTCATAATGTTATGGCTGTAATAATAGTTTATGCAGAGAAACATTGGTGAGATTATTTAAATTAGGTAGAGATCTATACGTTTACATAAAAACATTGCCAGGACTAAATATTCCCTCGAATAGATCACAATAAATGAAGTTCCATCTTTTTAATAACCCACATGAATACATCTTCTAATACTTTAAAGAGACCCTGTCACCAACCAAAAACATGCAGATACAAACAGAAAATTAAGTATTTAAAATGCTTATTTGCAGTGTTTCTTCTTTCCAAAAACTGTTTTTACCGACTTGCAATTTGCTAGCAAATTTGACTACTTTTTCAAGAGTCCATTTCTTAGTGCAACCCCCTCCCTGTCTATCATAGCCCTCTCCTCTTCTGGGAGTATCTAATTACTCTGTGGAGGAGATTTACTAAAGCTGGAGCATGGAAAATCTGGTGCAGCCCTGAATAGAAACCAATCAGCTTCCAGGTATTCTTGTCAAGCTGAAGTTCGAAGTTGATTGGCTACCATGCACAGCTGCAGAAGAACCGGAGTGCTCCAGTTTTAGTAAATCTACCCCTTTGTTTAAATTCATCTATCTCCTCCTCCCCTCCATAATCTTTCATGTGGCTGCTTGGGGAGGTGCAAAGGGGTATACTATAGCATGTCACTTAAAGTATAACTAAAGGAAAAACTATTTTTTAAAGTTTTTATTAGAGTGGAGATGGATTAGAACACCTGTCCATTTTTATCGCTGTGTCACGGCTAGGGAGATTCACGCTCTCTATTTACCATTGTCATTGAAACTGCAAGTAATGGAAAATCCCAAATAGAAGGGAAATTTTCCAATGGAGACACTAGTTCTGGTAACCTGGGAGTCCCTAAGGAATTCCTTAATTTGCGGGGATTTCCTCTCACTTCCTGTTTGGCTATGGGACAGGAAGGGAAATCCACTGCAATGGGACACAGATGTCGAAACTAAATTTGATGGGTTTTAACCCTCCATTGCTCTATCAGAAATAGAAAAAAAAAAAAAGTTTTGCCTATAGTTTTAACAGCTTCAAGTCTGTGGGGCTGCTGATATCAAAACCAACAGGGCAGAACAAAGCAGCAGTCCCAGGGCTTCTTAAATGTCTGCTGGGGTTGTTGACATCACATGCAAGATGGCAGTGCCCAACAGAAATCTACACAGGAGATGTTTTTAGATGTAAATAGCATGCACAATATATAATAAATGCACACATAATCCTTTGGCGAGATTGTTGTTGAAACGACTGGCCTGGTCGCAGGGTCTCTTTACCAGCTGCTTTAAAACCATGATATCAGAAAAAATCTCCATACCAAGATCAAAGTTATTAGAGTTTAGAAGAAACTCTGGAAGATAAAAGAACTCCGGAATTAGCTCCTTCACGTCAGCCATGTTGTGCTTTGATGCAGAGTACCAAGCCTCTCGTACACTGTGAAACATCCGATCAGCCAAGTCAAAATGACCACCCTGTTGCAAGAGAATATAAACAAATGACACACAACCTTCTCTGTTGACAAAATGCAAACTTTAAAATCACCTAGAACTTTATATGCTTTGCACACTGAGGTTATACAAAGGGCCAGTTCACACCACAAAAACGCACTCCAGATGCGTTCTGGATGTGTTTTTTACAGTTCACACCACACTCCGATCCGATGCATTTTTGATGCGTTCCAGTATGGTTGTGTGCAGAACAAATGCAGCATGTTTTACTTTTTTTCTGCACCCGAAACTGACTGGAACTGACTGCATTGGTGTGAACTAGGGACATTGGAATGCATAGAAAACACTGTGCATTTTTGATGCAGTTTGCCATGTTCCAGTATGGTTGTGCGCAGAAAAAAATGCAGCATGTTTTACTTTTTTTTCTGCACCCGAAAAAGACTGGAACTGACTGACTGGAATGCATAGAAAACACTGTGCATTTTTTTTGAACTGACTGCAACTGACTGCACTGTGTGAACTAGGGTCATTGGAATGCATAGAAAACACTGTGCATTTTTTATGCACAACAAAAACACACTGGACTGCATCTGGTGTGAACTGGCCCTGAAAGAAAGAAAACATGTAGAAATGTCATATGCCCCTTATTATTGGAGCTGGCCTATTCTGTTGTCACACTCAAAAACCTTTTTTCTTCTCAAATGGAAAAAAGTGCAAAATAAAAGCTTAGTGCTTTGTTTTATACGGTTTTGTTTTATACAGAGAGTGTGTGTCTCTGTTTTGTAAGTACACTGCGTATGCACTCGAAGACATACCTGCCAGCTCAAGATCCCTTGATGGCCTCTTATCAGAGAGCTTAAAGTGTTTATATAGACAAAATGTTAAGTTGTGGATAGAGTGGGGAAGTATTAAAACTCTTACAGCCATTGGAGAGATTCCATCACTTCCCGTTTGGTAAAAAGGTTGTCCCCAGGAGAGGAAGTGAGGGGATATTTCTCTAACAGCAACACACTCAAAAGTAAAAATGCTTTTTTCCCCCCCAAGTGAAATACAGAAATATCAGAACCTCTGTCAGTTTTTTATTTAAAGATGTTCCCTCACTTCCTGTCTGGTAAAATGTTGTCCCCATAACAGGAAAGTTTCAGGTATATACCTCAAGTGGTCCTACAGCCAGATAGCAAAACAGCTAGCTTTTTTTAGTTTATAAATTCTCTAATAGTAATGTCTGTAGTCTCATGACAGGTTTACTATTAAGTGCTGATACCCATTTAGAATACTAAGATATAGGGGCAGATTACATATGAAATAAATTGTGTATGTCAAGCATAATGAAGACAGATGAGAATAACCAAAATATGTTAAAGTACATTGCACTTCCTAACCTCATCATCTTGCTTGGATAATGAATCAGGTACTTGAACAAGGAAACACTGTCTTGTCTCCTCATTGTATAAGTGTCAAATATTAACATGCAAGCACCCTCTACTGTCACATTCTGAAAATTGTCTAATTACCACAAAGTACAGATGAAGGTCTAACTAGGATTGCAAAGGATGTTGAGTGTGAAGAAGATATCTGGACTGCAAAAGGTGAAGGGGGGGAGGAGGATATTGCCCTATCAAGTGTAATAATACGTAACTAAATGTAAAAAAAAAAAACCAGCATTATGAGGTTGCAACTGCTGTAACCCATATCAACCAATCAGATTTCACGTTATCAGTCAGAAATAAACACAAATTGCTGAATGATTGATTTAAATAACATACCCACGCCTGCAAACACATATACTTATGATTTTTTTTTTTTTGTAGAACCATGCTAAAGCTGGCCATTCATAGATCAAAATTTGGCGGGTTCAGCAGGGACCAGACTAATTTCGATCCATGTATGGGCACCCTGGTTGTACAGAATTCAATCTACCAAATTGACTTCTATACAACCAGGCTGCCGGGTTTTTCCCGATTGATCAGTGCTGCAGGCTATAGCTGGCAGCACTGATCATTGTATTCCAACAGTGGGGAAGACCCACAGAACACAATAGCATGGCAAGAGAATTCCCCCATCTACATAAAAATAATGTTTGGGTGGGGTAATCAGATCATTTTTTTGTTCAACCAACTGGTTGAATAAATAAAAAAAAAAAAAGAAGAATGTGTGGGCTGTTAACTGAATGGACCCCTGAGGTTGTAGATGAACCTTAAATTCTATTTTTTTTTCAGGCAGAATTGTTAAATTACAACAAAACGGAAAAGAATAGTTGATGACTTCAATTAATAAATTAAATTAAATGAAGAAATAATTTGGGTTAGATAGAGTTATCCTAATTTCCTGCCTGATAAGCATAGTTATTGAGGAAAAAAAAAATGACCCAACTTAGAACAGCAATGAAGCGTTGAAAGGGTCTAACCCTTCCCCACTCTGTCAAACAAGCAAAAAAAGAAAGGAATTTCTAATTCTTTCTAAGTCTATCCAAAACAATTGCGTGTCAGAAAATCATTGCTTGTAGACCATTTATTAGTATGGATAAATCCATTCAAACAACCCATGTGCTCTGAATGCATTAGACTCCTTTCACACAGGGTGATCAGCAGGGGATCAGTGGACAGATCCCCTGCTGAGCAGGGCAGAGTGGGCAGAAGATAGGTTCATATTGGCTCAATTTATGCAGAGCGGACATGGACTGAGTCTGCTCTGTTCTATGGACCGGCAGGTGTAAATGGGCTCTGCTGCCCGTTTACACCTGACTGCCCTCTGATCTGCTCTGCCTAGACAGAGCAGGATGGATCAGACTGAGGTAGGCAGGTGTAAACAGACAAGTCCATTTACACCCGCCAGTCCATAGCGGTGAACAGAGGGTATGATCAGGTCCAACTGAAAAACTGACAGGTGGACCTGATCGGAGTCTTCGTGTTAAAGGGGCCTTATACCCAGAGGTATAGATAGTTTCAAATGGAAGTTTAGTGTTTTTAGCTTGATAGTCACAAACAGAAAGTTCCTGATGTGTATTATATTACTCCCTAAATCAAACTAGCATCATGGCATCACACCAGGACATTACATTGTTGCTAACATATCGCGGATATTCCTACAGTGACAATGAAGTGTCTTTCCTTTAGCAATAAGGCATCATTTCGCTTCTGGAGACATGAGGAAAGCTGAATTCATATACAGTGGATATAAAAAGTCTACACACCCCTGTTAAAATCTTAGGTTTCTGTGATGTAAAAAAATGAGAACGATAAATAATTTCAGAACTTTTTTCACCTTTAATGTGACCTATAAACTGAAAAACAAACTGAAATCTTTTGGGGGGGGGGGGGGGGGGGGGGAGTAAACATAAAAAACTAAAATAATGTGGTTGCTTAAGTGTGCACACCCTCCTGTAACTGGAGATGTAGCTGTGTTCAGAATTAAGCAATCACATTCAAAATCATGTTAAATAGGAGTCAGTACACACCTGCCATCATTTAAAGTGCCTCTGATTAACCCCAAATAAAGTTCAGCTGCTCTAGTAGGTCTTTCCTGACATTTTCTTAGTCACATCCTACAGCAAAAGCCATGGTCCGCAAAGAGCATCAAGTGTCAGAAGGGTACAAAAGAATTTCCAAGGCATTAGATATACCATGGAACACAGTGAAGACAGTCATCAAGTGGATAAAATATGGCGCAACTGTGACATTACTAAGAACTGGACGTCCCTCCAAAATTGATGAAAAGACGAGAAGAAAACTGATCTGGGAGGCTGTCAAGAGGCCTAAAGCAACATTAAAGGAGCTGCAGGAATATCTGGCAAGTACTGGCTGTGTGGTACAAGTGACAACAATCTCCCGTATTCTTCATCTGGGCTATGGGGTAGAGTGGCAAGACGGAAGCCTTTTCTTACCAAGAAAAACATCCAAGCCTGGATAAATTTTGCAAAAACACATCTGAAGTCTCCAAAAAGCATGTGGGAAAATGTGTTATGGTTTGATGGAGCCAAGGTTGAACTTTTTGGCCATAATTCCAAAAGATATGTTTAAACGCAAAAACAAAACTGCACATCACCAACAGAATACCATGCCCAGTGAAGCATGGTGGTGGCAGCATCATGCTTTGGGGCTGTTTTTCTTTAGCTGGAACTGGGGCCTTAGTTAAGGTAGAGGGAATTATGAACAGTTCCAAATACCAGTCACTACTGGCACAAAACCTTCAGGCTTCTGCTAGAAAGTTGAAAATGAAGAGGAACTTCATCTTTCAGCATGACAACGACCAAAAGCATACATCCAAATCAACAAAGGAATGGCTTCACCAGAGGAAGATTAAAGTTTTGGAATGGCCCAGCCAGAGCCCAGACCTGAATCCGATTGAAAATCTGTGGGGTGCTCTGAAGAGGGCTGTGCACAGGAGATGCCCTTGCAATCTGACAGATTTGGAGTGTTTTTACAAGTAAGAGTGGGCAACTATTGCCAAGTCAAGATGTGCCAGACTCATACCCAAAAAGAGTGCTGTAATAAAATCAAAAGGTGCTTCAACAAAGTATTAGTTCAAGGGTGTGCACACTTATGCAACCATATTATTTTAGTTTTTTATTTTTACTTCCCTCCACCTAAAAGATTTAAATTTGTTTTTCAACCGAGTTGTACAGTTTATAGGTCACATTAAAAGGTGGAAAAAGCTCTGAGATGATTTGATTTATCTTTGTCGAATTTTTTTACATCACAGAAACTTGACATTTTAACAGGGGTGTGTAGACTTTTATATCCACTGTAGGACTGTGCTCTAATTAGCAAATTTGTGCTTGTTCTTGCCACATAAGGATCATAATGCTAAAAGCAATTACTATCAAATGAATCTGAGTAGAAAGAAATGACAGGCATCAGTAATGTAGCGAAAGTGTGCCCTTATCTGGAAAAGAGGAAACATGAAAAGTGCAAACAAGGGCCAGAGATTATGATGACAAAGCCTAGAGTAGCCTTTCCTATTCTTTTTAACACAGAGAAACCCTTGAAATAACTTTCTAGCCTAGGGGAATCCCCGGTAATAAT